TCTTATGGTCCTGTTGAGTTCAAGTTCTATTGCATTTCTATTCAAATCAAGTACCTTGGGGTCAAGTTTGATTCAAGTCCTTTGTTCATTTCGAGTTCATTATCATTTGCTTATATTCATTTAAGCTCAGTTTGTCGTCATTTGCTTATGTTCAGGTCACCTGTCACTGTAAAATTTGGCATCTCCCGGCGTCTCCCCCATTTGGGGGAAAATCCAGGAGTCTAAGCTTCTCATCACGCTAGAGAAAAATGTGTATGGTAGGTGTCGGGTGACACCGTGGCTATAAATATTCAATCCCACTACGCTAGAGAAAAACGTGTACAGGTCTTTGGGGTTGTTTGAAAAAGCAAAATTGTTTCTCTACCTTATACGGGTACTTAAATTTTGCACCGACGTGCTAAAAAAATGCCCACGAGGATTACCTGCCTTGTTTCAAGCATCGTTATGAGCATCCTCCCACCATGCTAAGAAAAACATGCATGGGTGGTCGCTCTCCGCGCTGCAAGGTTCGAAAACATGATTTTAGGATTTTCTGAGTTTGAACTGTTATATCTTCGTGACGTAGCAATTGACAGCGGTGGACAATACTCATAGACACCTTTTTTTCTTTTTCCTTCTTTGCACTTTTTTTTTTCTTCTTCTTCTCTTTCTTTTTTAGGGCAGACTTTCTTTAAAAACACAATAACAAGTGAGTAATATTAAACATTAAAAAAAAAAAAAAAAAGAGTAGCGGCATCTGAATCAATCTACGCATATTTGATTCTCAAGGGGAAAGAAACCTAAGAAGCATAAATCAGTTGTATTTATGGTGCAGGCATTAACCGAAGCTTTTCTTTGGTTGTTGAAGTCTTGGTTCTTTCCTCAGCCAATAAGGAATGCATATCACTTCCATTTGCCAAGCTATTGAACTCCACGGATTTGGATGGAAGTGCGGGAATGCGGGATACTTCCTCTGGCAAAATGCATAAGCCTCTTCAAGTAGTAGTGGTACTTCCGAGTTGTCTCATCGTTCATGATGTGTGCCACATTGTAGGTGTAGATCTTCTCACGAGCAGATCGCTCGTGGATGCCAACCATAGTCACTCCAATAGGCCATGGGGCATTTCCAATGGCTGTCGTGATGTAATGGTCCATTGCTGCGAGGTAGTCCCGTTCCATGCAACATCGCACCATTAGCATCAAAGCTTGTCGAATGTCATTTGGAAGAACCTTCTTCCTGCAAAACTTAAACTACGGATTCAAATAATGAGCACATTAGTTGAAGCAACCATAAACTTCGCCTTGGCCGTTCTCTTTTTTTCCCGAGGCATCTCGTCAATCTCCTAGTTCAACTCAGTGAGAAGTTGTTTGAAGAACGCAAGAATCTTGTCCTCGTCACAAAGCTCCTCAAAATTAGCCTTCATATTCTTTAAATCCTTATCTGCATCCAGTCCGGATGAGGCTTCAAGCAGGATGTGGGTGCGATTGTGAGGTCTAGAGGCGGCTTGAAGTCTATCTTAGTGCAGGTGAGGTCGGCATATAAAGGGAGTTTAGCCGTTAGGCTTGGAGCTGGATGTTTGGTTCAATGAGTCGAGGGAAATGAGATATGTGGTTTGTTGGTTGTGGAAGAAACGGACGAGATATGAGGTGTGTTCGTGTGAAAGACGGACAGTTGGTGATTGTGCTGAAGAGGTCGATTAAACATTCGAATAGGTGTTGGCGAGACATAGAGACGGAGAGAGCGTGCAGTCGAGTTTATGCGAGGAACGCAAGAATCTTGAATCTCCTAGTTCAACTCAGTGAGAAGTTGTTTGAAGAACGCAAGAATCTTGTCCTCGTCACAAAGCTCCTCAAAATTAGCCTTCATATTCTTTAAATCCTTATCTGCATCCAGTCCGGATGAGGCTTCAAGCAGGATGTGGGTGCGATTGTGAGGTTTAGAGGCGGCTTGAAGTCTATCTTAGTGCAGGTGAGGTCGGCATATAAAGGGAGTTTAGCCGTTAGGCCTGGAGCTGGATGTTTGGTTCAATGAGTCGAGGGAAATGGGATATGTGGTTTGTTGGTTGTGGAAGAAACGGACGGGATATGAGGTGTGTTCGTGTGAAAGACGGACAGTTGGTGATTGTGCTGAAGAGGTCGATTAAACATTCAAATAGGTGTTGGTGAGACATAGAGACGGAGAGAGCGTGCAGTCGAGTTTATGCGAAAAATAAAACAACTTGTTTTCATTCTATCATGAGTTAACGGCTAGAGCCATCAGTGGACATTCGAGGCAGATCATAAATTTTACAGGAGAAGATGCGAAATCAGCAAAATTTACTGGATTTCGCTAGAGATACGGCAAAGGTGATATGAGGTTTGCATTAAATTGGATTTGGACTTTCGATTTTTGATTGATTTTTTTGTTTAATAATTATTATAATAATAATACAATATTATTAAAATTATTATTATGAAAAGTGATGTAGATGGAATGGAAATTCGTGCACCTCAAAATTCACGTGTCAACAGTACAATGTGTTTTTCTTTAATTTTCGTGTATTCCATCTCGGAATGTGCGTCGATTTCCCTGCACGGGCTTCATTGGATAAATTCACAGACAATTCTGAGCATTGGCGACGTTTCAAATGCAATAGTGAAGTCGGTTTTGTGATCAGACGTCGTTTGGGCGACGTCGCACATTAATTTCCTAGATTTGCTCACATTGCCTCGGGATCGTCATCGATTTGCGTGCGTAATTTTCATTTGACAAATTGGCAGTGATATTTAAATATTGTTGACATTATGAACGCAACAGTGAAATCCGTTTTGTGATAGGAGATCGTTTGGGCAACTTCGCACGTCAATTTTTTTAATTTGCGCATCATCTCGAGATGCGTGTCGATCCTCTCGCGTGAATTTAGTTGATCAAATTTATTATCATATTTAGGTGTTGATGATGTTCCGAACACAATGGTGAAATTCGTTTTGCAATCGAAAGTTGTTTGGGCGACGTCGTGCGTCAAATTAGGGTAATGGTCGTGCCTTTGGAGAAATCTCATCCGATTTAACTGCGAGGGGTCTTATCTTAGGAGAAATTGACCTCTTGATTGCAACGGCGCAATCCGTTTGAAAATCGGAGATCATTTGACCTTTATGTGATGCATCGCACCGACGTGCGTGTTACGTAAATCCGCCAATTTTGTCTCTTTTCTCATGTTTTTATATGTAGGGGTCAACATTCACTATTGTTTTATTATGGAGATTATAATCCTAGTACCCACTTATGGTTGAGTTCTTGATCTTCCATATATATATATATATATGAGTTGTGGAATAGGATGTTAGATGAGGAGGTTAGAACAATGATAAGGATGATCAATGAATTGAAAAAGACATGGGATGAGGCAAGTGTTATAATAATGTAAGATAGCTGGTTAGATGTTCGACAAGGGAGTATCATAAACATCCTTGTTAACAATCTCTGTCAGAGTATATTTCTAAAATCTATTGATGCATCAAAACCTTTATAAAGGATGCACAATTGTTATTTCAAATGCTTGTTGAGGTTGTTGAAGAATTAAAAGAAATATTGGTTGTTCAAATTGTTCTAGATAATGCAAGTGCTTATAAGTTTGCAAGCAGACTATTAATTGAGAAAATGAAGCATCTTTTCTAAATTTCATGGGCTGCTCATTACCTTGATTTAATGCAGTTACTAGATAGTGAGCAAGTTTATTTACAATCACTCTTAATTGTTGAATTTGATGAGAAAGTTCATTGGTAAAGAACCAAAGACCATCTTTGCTTATAAAGGATGAGATAAAAGATCTTGGTCTAAAAAATAATAAAAAAAACAAGTGAAGAAGATTTTTATGAAATATGACTATTTTTACCGTAGTGTTAATTATGTTTTAAAGACAATGAGACTTTTGTAAATGTATTAATGATGGTTGATTAAGAGAAGACCCAAAAAAATTGGAATTATCTATAAAACAATGAGCAAGATGAGAAAGAAATAACAAGAGATTCGGAGGACAAGTGGGATCATTAATTACATTAATGTTTGTGTGTTGCTGCATATTATTTGAATCCCTAGTTTTATTATAAACTTTTATGTGGATAATAAGATTAAGATTAGTTTATATGCATGCATAAATGAACTTATTTCTGAGGATGATTTTCTTAAAGCAAATAATCAATTTGAGGATTTCCATTTGAAGATTGAAATATTTGGATTTAAGCAGCTTAAGCATGCTGCATGACACTCCTATAAAATTTGCAGTCATTTATAATTTTAAATTTGAAAGTATGTTAATAATTTAATTTTTATTCAATTATAAAATGTTGCTTAGCATAATTTAGAGTTGATATGCCTATATTTAAAGTATTTGTAATGAAAGTTCTTAGCACTATCTGTTCAGCTTCTGCATGTGAGCATAATTGAAGCAAGTTTAATCAAATTCATACAAAGAGAACCAATTGACTGTAGAATGTATGAATAAGTTGGTTTATATTATCTTTAATAAAAAATTGAAAGATAAAAACATCAAATTACAGAGTTAAAGAATTGATTGTGATGAAATAGGTCCTTTGGTTGTGGATGTTATACTATCTAATGCTGAATGGTTAACACCAAAAAAAATAGTGAAAGATTTGAAGTTGAAGCTGAAGAAATAAACTTTAATGATGAGTAAAATGAAGATCTTAATATGAACAGTAAAAGAATTATTGAATTGAGAGCAGCTTCTACTTTACAATGACTATTAAGCTTTGGAACAATGAAAATATATATTAATAATTCGCAACACGGTAGCCTTTTTTGTGTGCTGAAAAAAATGTAGAGGAATCTATCCAATTTTTAAATCTTATAGCCCAAACTGTTGGTCAGTTGTAAAGGTTAATATTTTTTATTTCTGGTGCTGTATTGATATGTTTGTGATATTGGAGTTCCATTTGTGTTGGCCATCTCTTGTAACCAACTTGGTCTCAAAACCAACAATACTATTGCGTTTTTGAATTCATTTGACTTTCATTTCCAGTTACTCGAGGGTCTTCAAAGCTCTCTAGTCATTTCAAAGATTCCAAGCATTTCTCATGAGAGGAAGTCTTCCAGAGGCGGATCATCCTCAAGAGGTAGATTTGCTTATCATAGATAAAGAATTTCTTTTGCCACAGCCATTGAAATATCTCTTCATGTTTTCAACAGGAAACACGCATGGCTGAAAGGAGGCGAGCTCTATAGGCCTTGTTGCTAAAACTACCTGAGTCAGTGTATATACAATAACTATGTTTATCCTTTATAAGGTTTTGTACATTATTATATATTTAGGAGAAGTGAATCTCGAAGTTTTCTTCTGAAATGATCAGAATGTAAAATTTCCTAGTTAAAATTTATCTACGCTTGTCTTGATTTTGAGTACCATAACCCTAATCTTCGACTATGAAGCTATCTGTTTAACCTTTAGAAATATATCATATAGGGGCACAGGATTTTTGGCTGCAGGGTTGAGATGGTTAGTTACCGTTGATGAATTGTATTTTTCCAGTTCATCTGTTCCATGGTACGCATGCTGATGTCCTATTGGCAATCTCAGTTTCTTTAAAGCTTGAGCATTTCTGACTAGGTGTTCTAAATGATTTGTTACCTTTTGTTCCCTTTTTTTCTTCCCAGGAAATGGTTTTACAGCACTAGTGTTTGAGAGAGATGATCCTCCTATTCATAGCCCTGCAAAGCAAGCAACATATGGATTTGTACTGCCATCGCTAATGGTTTCTATATATAGTATGGTCTCATGGTGTTCTTACAATAGCTCACTGTGGAAAAATTATTCTGTGCGGACACCGGTCGCTGTTCAGAGGTCAATCAAAAGGTCCCATGTCACTTTTTCCTCGGTACTGGTGCTAAGTATCGATGTTACTGAATGACGTGACGTGTTTTGGTTGGCCTTCGGATCATCCAGTGTTCGCTCAGAATAATTTCTCCTCACCGTGGGACTAGTTTCTTATGTGCATGGATGGTCTTTTTAATGGGGCTCATGGAATTTAGGGATTCAGACTGATAGGAGCCATTTCTTAGGTTTTGCAGCTCTGCATATCCATTGGGATACAGAGATGGATTGGAATAGTTGTGAATTCGTTAATATAATTCCTTACTGGGCTGTAAGATCTGCCATCCGTTCAAGTGCTCACTTTTTTCCGTACTCGCTAGAGTTGGGAGAGATAATTTGGTAAAGATTTTGTCACTATTAGTGATTAGGCTCTGTTTCTGACGGTTTTTTTGCATCTTAAAGTAATTTTTAATAAAAAAATATAAATTTTTAATTAAAAAATTATTTTAAGAAGCAGTAAGAAAGTCTGTCTTATGATATATCAGATTGGGCTATGAAGTTATTGGATACTGTTGAGATTGTCGAGATTAATATGATTTAAAATATATGTAACAGTAATAGTAATTTTAATGTAAATATAAAAAAAATTGAAATTTATTTTGATGAACGTTTTGTATCAGGATATTTTGATGAACTTAAAAAAATAATAATAATAAAAGGTGGGTTTCACACTTCTATGTTAGGCTTGCAGAACTGTTTGTAGAGAATCTGCTTCTTCTGCCAATGGGTGTTCATGATTGTGCTTCTTTGGTCATTGCCAAGATATTTTAATTTAAATTTAATTAGGATGGGATTTTTAGTTATTAAATTTATTTTGAGGTATGTTTGATATGTAATTTGATTATTTAATTTAAATATTATTTTTATTTTAAAGTCAATTTAATGTTAAAAGTTATCTTGGTTAAGATTAAGATTTTGTTTGGTATTATTTTTCTATTGTTTTTAAAAATATTTTATTATGAAAATTTTTAAGACTTGTATAAAAATTATTTTAGAAAATAGTTCTAAACCAAGTCAATTATTATTGATTGAAGTGGGAGGCTTTTTTAATGCTATTAATTATTGAAAATATTTACTAATATTAGTTTATTATTAAAATAAGTGATCTAAAATTTCTGGTGAAAAAATAAGAGATGTGGAGGGGTGTGGTCAAAAGAATGTTAACAATGCTCTTGTTTAGATTAATTTGACCTAATTTGTAAGTTCACCTTAGAAAATGGGTCTTGAGTGGGGCACATGTTTGGAAATGATGGTGGAAAATGATATTATGATGTTAAATTATGATCTTAGTAGATAGTAGAATTTTATGAAGTTAAAAACTTGGTAGATGTATGGTAGAAGAGAATTGGGTTGACTTTTTTAATGCTTTAAGTTATGAATAATTGGTTTTGAAAGATGGATAGGGTGGAAGAGAAAGTACTAAAAATAATTTTTAAAATAATTTAAGAAGAGTAACAATAGGAACAAAAGCATGAACAATCAATCTTGTCAAGGTCAATTAAGATAGACCATCAAATACTAATCGAAAGAGAATAATTTTCTTCAAAAAAATTTTGTATAATGGTTGAAGAGGAAAATTTTGAGGGAAAAATGAGTAAGCAATCATTAATTTTGAGGGAAAAAAGAGTAAGCTGTCATTAATGAAGGAAAATGCCAACCATGGACCTTCTGGTGGTAAGGGTATTTTATGTGATTGTTCAAGTTGCTTCATATAATCACCAGCCCATGCTAAGCTTCTTGCTTGAATATTTGCTCTAAAAGTTTGTAAAGATATTATGTTTCATTTTTTGTGCAGCAAAATGTCACTTGTTTAGTCTACTATATATGTTTCTCTTTCCTCTTTATGCTAAAGAGTAAGCCTATATAATTTACTTGATCCCTCATCTCTTCTAGATTTAACATATTTACTTTCATGTTTGAGGTTTGACCTCTTATATGCTAACTGATATTGGTTAAAAAATAATACAATGTTGTGATAATTTACCAAAAGTTTAGAGAAGATCTATGTACCATTGTTGTTTGCCATGTACTTTTAGTATAGGGAAACTTCAGATGGAAGACCATATGATTCTAAGTCAAATAATTCAAAACAACAATCATATTCCTTTTATCCATAGATGTATGGTACTTGATAGATTATCATATGTATTAAGGGTGAGGTAAAAAGAACCCAATAAAAGCCTCAGGAGGAATATATACACATATGCAAGCCTTATGAAGTCAATATAATAGAATATTATTGTGTGTCTTGCATTAGAGTTAAATACATAAATAAAATTTGTGTAGTCACATGCATTACATACCCTATCTAGGCAGATTGTCTTAGGCTTTGTTTGGGACGGCTTCTTAAAACAACTTTTTAATACAAAAATTAAAAATTCTGTACTCGAAAACTGCTTTAGAAAGCAATAAGAAAGACGTCTCAAACGAAACCTTGGTTTAATAGCAAAATTGTAAATTGTACTTCTAAATTAATAACAAATCAATCATATTCTTCATTTTATATTAAGATGTTCCTTTCCTTGAATGCAAGATGAAAGCCTTTCTTTATTGGGTATGTGATGCATGTTGAAAAAACATTATTATAGCTGAAGAAACCAAGGCACAATTTGTAGTACACTACAAAAGATTTTGATTCATAGACTGATTAAAAGCTCAATTATCTTGAATTTATATTACTTGCAGATTGTGCAGCACAACTTTCATATATGCACAAACTTTCATATATATATGAAGGTAACTAACCATAACAAATATAACTATGAACTTAGATTCATGAAAAGATCATTGAAATGAATACCAGTTTCTGAAACCCCATCGAAGGGGTAAATGAGAAAGGTCGCCAGCTTCTGAATAATTTCCAGCTACAGGTTGCAAGCACAGGAGAAGTCTGCATGACCACCAGAGCTCACTGAAATGAAGTGGGTTAGAGGGCATACATGACAGTGTTAAGGGAACAGAAAGCTCACCAAAATTCTTTAAAAACTGTTCATGGAGTAAAGCTATCTAAGCAGGAAAAGCTTTTGAAAAAAAAAAGTAAGGAATATAAACCAAAGGATATGGCAGATATCTAAGATTGTTTAATCCTTCAGCCGCTTTGCAAACTGATAAAATACATTTCTCAAAAACCTCTATGCCCTGTGGGATCATTACCACAGGGCATAGAGGGGGAGGAAAGAGAAATAGGCAAGAAAAAAGAGTCTGGCAAGATGGCATTCAGGGCGGGCGCTAGTTATAGAGAAAAATTCTTATAGAATCGGCCAGTTCCTTAGTTTATACTCTTCAGCAAACTTTTTGGCCTAGACATCATTATAACAAATTTCTCCTAAATTGGTAAGTTTAATAGACTGAAGATATTCAATAAAATTAAAGAAAATTTACTTTTCTGCAGTCTGCTGCCCACCAGGGTCAAGTGATCAGATTTTGGGGTACATGCTTCTTCTGCTGCCATATTTAGCTTTGGCAATTGAAATAGTCAATTTTCTCCCAATTGGACTTCAATTCCAAAAAGGTTCATCTTTTGCAATATTTTCTTGCTGTTGCAACTCTGGGAAAACTTTCAACTGCTATAGTGTTATTTTTCAAAGGTGGTCTGTCTTGTGGTCCAAGGGAGAACTGCCCTCCAAGCTCTATTTGTTGCATATCAGGCTTCTGGCAGATGCAGGAATAAGGATATTCATGGAAATCACCTCTTCCAGGTCTCATCTCATCAGGTTCACCCATGAAACCCCTTTGGTGCAACTTTACCTTTTTGGCAAACATCGCCCACTCCATTTTATTTCGTGCCTTAAATAATGCGCTAAGCTTCTTTGCATTTGGCCGTATGGTCCTCTTATGCCCCATAAACCTCCTGCAAAAACAGAACCACCATTAGTGAGGATGTCTCGAGGGACATGAAAATGGATGGGTGATTCTTTTAAGTTGCAGAACTAATATAGTTGGAATGTCTACACAAAAATAGCTGTTAAGGACGGCAAGAATGGAAATGCTGTCCAGGGAAATGTTGATGGCAGAATATGGCAATCTAATAGTTTCGAGCCATAAGATGAGTTAGTATGGAAATTTTGAGTAGAAAGTGGATGTAAAGCAACATGGATTTATGCTTTTGGAAATTTTGATTAGACCAGAATTTACAAAAAAGAACACGCAGAAAGGAACTATGTAATTTTTTTCCAAAAAAGCATACAGTGATGACAGACTAACCATATGATTTGAACTAGTGACCTCCGGATATATATGGAGGCAACCTAACCATGTTATTACAAATCCAGACCTCAAGTAACATCAAGAAACATGTGATATTCAAATGTGAGGTGGATTTCTAGGTTCAACAACACAATTAACATGAAAAGAGGCAAGAAAGAAAGAAACAGAGATGATAATGTAAGTTGGTAGTGAAGACAAAACCAAAGTCTATCATCAAGTAACAATCTGTTCTAGACCAAAGCTCGATTTGGCATAACTTTCTACTAGCCATTTCTACTTGAACATTAGCAACAATTTTAGGGTATTTGAAACAAATAGTTGAGATAAAAAAAAAAATCAGTGGAATGAAATAACAATTAGGCAGATTACCAGAGCTGCAATTTCATCAATTTTACGCTTCTGACCAAATTAATTAATTTAATGATGTATTAAGACTGATATTATATAATAATGAGGGATTTACATACATACCACAAAGTCCTTATTTATATATCTAATGCCTAAAATTTAATATTTGTTGATATAGTATTTTAATATCTCAATCGCATCAAAGTATGCAAGAAAGGTATTTCCACTCTAAAAAATTTAATATCAATGATATTTTTCATGTTATTTAAAAATGTAAGTGTTAAACAAATAAATATTAAAATTTTAATGTTACATATATAAATGCATTTTATGTGATATGTATGCAAATCACCCTATTATAATTTCAGTATTTCATAATTCAATCAGCTCAAGCCAAAACAACTTTTTACTTAACAGCCACAATTCTTTTCAACACTTTCAACAACAGCCTTTACATGATTTTACAATTTTATAGGACAGCATAGCACGCTACAACATGGAACAACAATATGAAATAGAGTCTAAGAAATATATAGTGTTGGAACAAAAAACAGTGTTTTATGTATTTGAGTTAAGTTTCCTACATTGTCATCTGAAGGCCATGAATTTGAGTCAAGAAAACAGTCTCTAAAAATGGCAAAATTACATCCATCAACATCGATGGGGCATCGTACTCTAGATTAACCCTTATATTTTTGAAACAATGCAGAAGTAACCACAATTCTAGTATCTGCTAGTAAGATAAAAAAATGGCATAAGAATCTAGATGAACTAGAAAATTTGAAGTCCAAATGATTTAATTACCTCCGCCCAGCAAGAAGCTTGGCCATGTTCCCGTTATTATTGGTAACAAATACGTCACTGTCCTCGCAAACAATATAGTCAATAGCAGCAAGACGAGAAGAGAAAGATAGAAAGGGCTTCAAATTCTCTCCAGCAAGTGTTTCTTTAGTATACAAGTTCGGAAAGAACTCTCTAAGAGGTCGTAGAGTTTCTTCTCCACCATATATGTCTCCTGATGCTATATAAAGATACGTGTCATTTTCAAAACCAAGTGCTCTTAACAGCAAACCAACTTCATATGGACTCAACGGGCACTTGCCTCTACTACGTTCACCCTCTGCATCTAAATCCTGCCGCAACAGAGAAATGACACTTACGTAATGCAAACAACGGACATGAAAGCAATATATGTAATAGCTGCCATTCACATTTCCACAAATCTTCAAAGAGCAATACTTCAGAGATAGAGATTGCAAGAAAGGACAACGTTAACTCATTCATGGCGAGAGTAAATTTGAGCAGGACAGGACCAGGCATGAAACCTGAAATCACTAACTCTACCCACAAACTAATCCCAGATAAGCATTTAATAAGAACCTAAATCACCTTTGTTTTTGATACAATCAAATCATATAACATAGAGAAATATACAACATGTTTAAGGAGAACTAAATCAAAGAGGATTAGTCAGGAAGGAATGAATAGGTGACGTCTTTTTAATAGCAGAATATAAGTTTCATCTTAAGACTGGGAACAAATTGAGTTACGATATAATTTTGGGAATAAAATAATTTATAAAGAGAAGTGCTGCTACAATCTTCTCTTTTTTAATTACAAATCAATCATGGATGACAACACGATAAGCATGTAGAAGAAGCTTAGAAGGCTAAAAGGGCATGATTCTTCAGAGCCATTATAGCCACTGAAATTTACGCTTGTAGTTTTCCAGAAATAAGGATAAGCAGAGAGTGATGTAGAAATATCAGTTTTGATGTTAATTGATGTAGATAATGATTGCTCTCATACCAAAATTTGGTGGTCACTAGGATTCAAGAAAACCATAATTAGTTAGATGAAGCCTTTAGGGTTCTATGATTTGGAATGCGGAATAAAGGTTTTGGTAGAAAGAATTAAGATTAGAGCATCCATGCAACTAACCCTGAAATTATGTAATAAGATGATAATGAAGACATCAAAATCAAACCAATCAGCTTTGAAAGAACTTCAGATAGACTGTCAAGAGGAATCAACCTTGACCTCAAAGGGGTTATCATTGGCTAAGAAGCTTCCCTTGAAAAAGGCGACGAATGTGGAGATGGAATAAAGCCAAAAGGAGTTAAACTTTCAACTAAGTGAGTGGATACTTTTACAACGTTTCTAGAAGGTCAAGTCCAACTCTCCTAGGATAAAAGGGCAAAGTAGAGGATTCGACACTAATTATTTACTCGAATGAAAATAAAAAAGTTCTTTAACAATCTAGATTTCTACACACCCTAAAATGAGGTCCTTCATTTCAAAGAGGAAGCCGAGTGAAATGATCTGTAAGCTTTTTGTCCTTGGTATTAATGTAACAAGATTTTAAATTTATTTATGCTAATAAAATAATAATAATAATATGATGACTATGGGTTTGATCATAAAAAAGAATGATAATCTTTCATAAATTTTTATTATTTATAATAGTATTACATTTAAGTATTATGTTTATATTAAAAATATTTTCATGATACTTCAATGTTGAAAGATAAATAGTTTAATATTCAAATAATAATTTAAATGTTATTATAATTTTTATTTTCATTAATATTGTAAGAATTATTTTCCCCAAATAAAATATTGTAAGAATTAGTAAATAATTAAATTATTAAAGTTTTCAACTTGTCATAAAAGCTTATTCATTTATTGAAAGTGAATTTTAGTAACTAAAGTATTTTTAGCTTAAGTTGACATCTAGCATAGTATAAGTGATACCTAATAATTCTAAAATGATACTTCTTCTTTCTAAAATGATACAATTCCTACTCATTCCAACATCTAAATAGTACCTTGTATCTTTTCTTTTATGATGGAATGTTTTGATCAAGGTTGTGAAAACCGGACCGGACAACGAACCGGTAGAGAGAGCGGTTCAACCGGTCGAACCGGGATCGAACTGGATGACGTAATAAATACAATTTAGATGATATAAAAATCATATAATAATATAACTTTTTTATTAAAAAATAAATTGAATTCACACATTACTAATATCTTATATAATTTTAAATTTAAACATATTCAATATTTAAATTTAATTTAAATTTAACAAAAAATTAACTTACAAATGCTTTAATTTTATTATAATATTTATATATAATTTATATTATAATTTATATATTAGATTCATATTATTATTTTACATTTATAAATTATTGAGCTTAAATTAAATCATTTATTATAAATAATAAATAAATAAATTAATATTTATGGTACATAAAAAAAATAAATGATGAATATAATTTATTTTAATATCATAATTAAAAATAAATATTATTTCATCATAAAAATATTATTTAAAAAATTTATTTTAAAATTGAATAATGTATGTTGTTAAACTTAAAAGTTAAGAAGAAAGACATAGGAGCTTTAGATTTTTTAGTCTCACATCACTTGGGAGACTTTCGCTTGGTGAAGCTTTTACTATATATTGGCTTTTGAGCTAGATAGAAGTAGAGATGAAACTTCATGAAATGCTTGGTTGGAATTTTTTAATTTAAAATTAAGCATTTCAAATTTGAAATTAAATTACAAATATTTTTAATATTTTAAAATAAAGTTATTAAAAATTTAAATATTAAAAAATACAAACTTGAACCGGCGCGTTCAAGAGAACTGTGACGGTTTGCCGGTTTCACCGGTTGAACTGGCGGTTTTGGACAAAAACCGGCCGGTTTGAAGCTAAGTCGGTTTTCAAGGTTGAACCGAACCGGCCTTTGGACGCGGTTCACGGTTGAACCGGTCGGACCGACCGGTCGGTCCGGTTCTTGGTTTTTTAAAGCATTGGTTTTGATGGTTGCAGTAAGAAAAAGTTTAGTCTGGGAAGCAGTTGGGCTATGGATTGAAAGAAAAGCAAAGCAATGATTTTACTCTTATTTTAAGATATAATATAATTTGATTTAATATTTATTTAGCATATTTACTTAATTCTAACTATTTTCAAGCACCCTATATGTTGTTTAAAATTATATTAATTAAATCTATTTACTAATAATCATGATGGAAAATTATATTATCGCTAACTTTAATTTATATATATATATTATGTTGTGTTTGTGTGTGGTGTGTGTGTGTGTGTGTAAGGGTCTAAGGGACATATTAATCTTCAAAATATTAAGAATACTATCTAAGTTTTATAAACTAGTTTTTAAATGGCAAATTAGTTTATATTTGGCGTACTAATTTCTAATTTGTTTTTAAATGAAACTATATATATATTATATATATATTATATATATATATATATATATATATATATATATATATATATTATAAATATAGTGTATATATAGATAGATAAATTTAGTGCTTCATTCTAAAATGATACTTCTCCATTCTAAAAGGACACATAAGCAATGCCTACTCATTCTAACATCCAAATAGTATCTTATTTGTTTTCTTTTGTAAAGAATGTTTTAAGGGTTTACAAAATAATTTAATTTGGGAAGAAGTTGGACTAAGGATAGAAAGAAAATCAAAGCAAAGATTTTATTCTTATTTAAGAGAGATAATTTGATTTAATATTTATTTACCATGTTTCCTTAATTCTAAATATCATCAAGCACTCTGATAGGAAGTACTTGAGTTCGCAAGTAACCCTAAGGGTAATACTTGAGTTCGCATGCAAACCTAGCAAGGATTGGCAAAAACAGTGAGAAAAAGGATTGATTTCACACAAGGGAAATAACTTTGATTCAATTCACGAACAAGAAAAATAAAGCAAGATACAAGTTTCTTCAAATCGAGAGGAATAAACAACTCTCCAAATCTCTAGCAAAATCTAGAGCCCACACGAAACAAAACCCTAGATCTCAAAATTCAGCAAATCTCAAGATATACCTCTGATAAGAAGCTTGATATGCATAATCACCTATCACCAAGGCGGCGCACCTATCCATGTGATCCAGCTTCCACTACCTCTAAGCCGTTGCAGCTAAGTGCTCCATCTTCAACCATATGATTTCTGCTCACAACATCCTCATCATTCATGTAAAACAAACTGTCCGTGTATTGAAAAACTACTACTGTATATATTCCAATATTCCGGTGACTGTAGAGGTGGAGCAGTTTTAATATAGAACACTACTCCCTAGCAGTAGTTTACCTTCATCGTCTTCTTACTGTAATTCTGCTTTTACTGAATAATTTAGCTCTATTTTTAACTTCTTCATGGTATCAAAGCTCTATATCAAAGCTCTATTTTTAACTTCATTTATTGCGTCCTCTTATCTTCATTCCCTCATCACTTTGAGTGATGTCCCCATTCCCCCCCAACTCAAATTCTTCATGGCTACCGTGAAGAATCTGGTCACCATTCAACTAATCACAGATAATCATTCGGTGTAGAAGGCACAAATCCTGAAATTGCTCACAACAAATGGTTTTGAAGGTTATCTGACAGGCGTCATCATAAAACCTTCAAAGCAGCAGCTTCAAGCGGATGGTTCTGTCATTCTCAACCCCTTATATCAATCTTGGATGCTCATATATCAGAATTTGTTGGCTTCTCTCTACTCCATTTCCACTTCTCTCTTATCATATGTTCTTAACCTAGATTCGTGTCACGAAATCTGGGTCACGGTTGAGCAACGTCTTCAATCTACAAATAGAACCCGTCTACCAGCTGAAAAACAAGCTTCGTCAACTTCAGCTGAAAGATATGTCCATGGTACAATACCTATCAGACATTAAACAGAAAATCGATGCTATCACTGTTGCCGGCTCAACCATTGATCCTTAAGATATCATTCTGTACACCTTGAATGGTTTACTTGCCTCCTATCAATCCTTTAAGACAGCCATTCGCACACAACTTCAACCGATCAGTCTTGATGATTTCAAGGGAAAGGAAAAGCAGCTCGTAGAAAATGCTCAAATTTCCCCTAAATCGCCATTGTCAAGCAATCCTCTATGCATAGTAATTATTCTGAGTTGATTAGCTATAAGGGCTCTTATAAGGACCACTTGCATCCATATATAGCGTGAGGCGTAAGCCTCATGCCAGTGAGGCGAGGCGGGCCTCAATCAAGTTGAGGCGCAAGCCTCATAAAAAAACTCGAGGCATAAGCATCGAGGCATTTTTTACTGGAATTGCGCAAAGGCGGGCCTCAAGGCGAGCCTCATATAGCGCAATTTTAAACAATGCTTGCATCCTTCAAGCTGATCCATGTTTTGGTCCTAGGTTCCCAGCCTTGATCCAAGGCATCAAGGAGGATATTAAATTAAAAAGTATATGCTCGAAGATACCAAGACTATTGAAGAAATAAATTAAGCCCAAAGAGTACGAATAAGATAGAGAGAGATCATTACAAAGATCCTGACAAAACCATTTTAAGTCGGACTGAGTTATAGAGAAATAATTTGAAGAAAAAAATATTTTGTAAAGACTTTAATGATATTTCATATTATTTTTCTGCTTTGACTTTTCTTGTCCCGTCATTGGACCACTGATCTCTTTTTTATAAGTGAAGATCAAGTGCAATATTACGGAATTGACTACATAGTATAATTAAACTTAGTGAAGCTGGTTGTGTAGCAGGCTATGATGCACGAACAAGGGCACAACGATACGGACACGACTTTTTTGAAAATGAAGGACACGGGTACGACGCGAACATGGCATTACAATTTTTTTTATATAGTGCATGGAAATTAATATAACATCATATTAAAAATGACAAACAATAATAAATGAATGTCATGATAAGTTGTCTAGCTTATAATATAAAATATTTAGCACAAAATGTCTAGTACAACCACGTTTAGATAACTATGTTTTATGGGGATGAGCATGTGATAAAGATCTCAATGACAACTTATTTGAGTGTGGCAAAGATTAGAATGTTATGACATGTGTGAAAAGACTACACATGATAAGTTTACAAATAATTATATGGGGAGAAATGTGAGAGTATTATATGTTAAATATAAAATAGTGAAAAAAAATTAGGTACTTTAGGCATGCACAATAAAGATTACAAGATGCATCAATAAGGCATGTTATAAGAAACACTTCAAGATTTCAAGTAAATCCTATTAATTTCGAACAAAACAACGAAAAAATTCTTCCAAACTTCAATGAAACCCAGAAAAATGATAGTTTTTATTGCAATAATCAAACTAACGAAAGGAAATAACAAGATACAATTGATCCTCTATTCGAGAGGAGGATTTATCTCTCCCAAATCTTTAGACGCCGCTAGAGCCCGAGAAAAACCTCAGAGATCTCAAAATTCAGCTAAATTCCATATGCTTTAACCCTAGGAAAACAAACAATTTAATGCATACAATAAAAAAGGAAACCTCTAAACGGTCCCAACATTCAAATTTCCCTCACTCCCTCAAAAATCCTTCATAAATAGCTTTTTTGGATCTTGCGACTTGTACGGCTTATACAGAAGGCGGAAGATTTCTACCTCCATTACATTGAACTGGTCCTATATGGACCGGTCTAACATCATGCACATAAAGATCTACTTGATCAAAATTCTTCTTATTGATTTAGTAAATATAAAAATATAAAAAATTTATAATTTAAAATAATTTTATCATAAAAAATTAGGACACGCGTGTCCACTTAAATTTAAACATTATTTTAATCGGACACGTGTCTTCCGTATCCGACATGTGTCCCAACCGTGTCAGGTACGTGTCCGTGTCAGACACATGTCCGACACTGCATTATCTTTTCAAGAGGTCTGTCGGTGCATCATAGGTAGCAGGTGAGTTAAGCCTGTAGTAATTTTCCAGTCAGAAGAACTTCGAGAAACTTTTGAATAGTGAGTACCATTGGTATATATATATATATATATATGTGTGTGTGTGCGCGCGCGCGCAATATTCTATAAGCATAATTGTTACACAAGAGCCTATATTGGATGAGGAATGTTGGAAGTGGCTGTAACATAGTTTAAAATTCTAAAATGAGATCAAGAAAAAAAATACTATAATATGCAGATGCAATCCATAATAAGAATAATTAGCTACAAGAGAATAAAAGTGCAGGTAATTAAACATGAAAAAACAATGCTAACATTGTCAATTGAATAATAATTTATGCCTATCATGAGCATTTTACATTGAAATCAGTAGAAAAAAGTTACTACAACATAAAGAAATCATGCATGAGATTTGAACATATTCAAACTAGAAGTAGAAATCATGGGTTGGAATGATAGCTCTAAAGTTAAGAAAATATAACACAAAAAAATTAATCATACAGGTAATGTCTCCCAGCGTTGCCTAATTTTACGGAGCTCATTCCGCTCTTTTTCACCACCACCAAAATAACAACCAGAAAATGCAAGCATGTCTGGTTCAAACCTGCATAAAAAATAAAGTTTTGGAGGTGATAAACTGCAAAATCATCAAAAATAAATAATAATGATAGAAGAATTAAATTAAAGAAGATAACTGAGTAAACTGCCCTTAATTGAGGAAAGATAAATAAAATTGATATATTTCAAAAAGAGGCAGTGTTCATAGATGATAGATAAACTCATTCAACACAAAAATTGTGTATTTAAAATCATAGCATATATAAACTATTTAGGGTTGGAATTATAAAAATTTCTTCATTGTTTATTCTCTTGAGCACTACATAAGACTTTTAACTTACAAAGTTTTTATTCACAGCCTCTTACCATATTACGCTCGACCTAATCATTTTCCAATTCATTCTTCTTACATTCAGTATATCTTGGCGCTAACTAAGTTTATTTTCCACACATGGTCTACTTCTACTACTGTTTAGATAATCATTTCTCATTTTATCTTCCTTAATTTTACCCCACATTATTCCATTGTATGTTGTCCAATTAATGATGATCAAAATAGGATTTTCTTTATGCATTTTTATTGATTAGAAATCAGATGTTTTTTCTGTCATTTATTATTTTCATAAGCATTATTATGTTATTATCCTTTAGAGGTAGCTTGGGCTTTCATTTGTGAGGATATTTCTATAAATAGATTTTGCTGCGTAGAAGCATAATTATAAAGAGTTGAATAAAAAACTACAACCCATATATTGGCTTCGTATTTTTTAATCTTGAAGATTAAACAGTTTAAATGTGCTAAAGATCATCATCAAGTTGTTGATTCACTGTTTCGTATACTTATCCTTCAATTCTTTCAGTTTCGTATATAATCCACAGTTATACTTCCTATCTTGCATCAAATGGGCAACAACAACATCAAGTTTTTGTCCCACTATATGGGGTCGGCATGTAAATTAAAACCAATAAAAAATCCTCATTCAATAATCTACCACCTCTAAATTAACCTTTACCCTAGAATTATCATTAAGCTCTAACAAGTTACCTTCATTATATTTGATGAATTTACAGCAACTGTTTGTTTTCTACTACCGTTTTCATCTACTTTCATGAGGTTATTGCTTTCCTGCATCCATTTTTCCTTTTTTTCCCCTCTTGTTTCATTTATTTTTCCCTAATTTTTTTGTTCCTACGCTGCCACTATGTAGGCTTTTTCCGGTTGATGGGAAAACATTATGCAACTCTCATTTTCTTCCTCTAAATCTCATTTAGTTGACTCATTCAAATCTGATTAAATTCAAATTCAAAATTTAAATTTGAATTCAATTTTTGCAACAATCAATTCCAAGAACATCTCCATTAAACAATACAATCTAATTAAATTCAAATCATCTCATCGGTAAAAATCAAATTCCGAACTAATCCCTTTTTTCTTATCATTTTACATCTAGTCATTATCCCTACATAACCTAAACTATCCAGTTAATCTATATAATAATTATTATAAAGCTAACCCAAATTAATACTCGATACCCAAACTACACCCCTTCTCTCACTTTGAATGCACAAATCCCAATAATCTTATCCCACACCATCTTCAAAATATCAACAAAGGCTTCTATTAAGTTGTTCATCCATCCTTTTTGGCCGGCAATCTTGAACAGTTGTGCTATATCTTCCCTATGATCCACCACAAGCACTCCCAACTACATCCAGCTGGGATTCAATCATGATCTATGATGACGTTGGGATATAATTCTATTTTCTACGGTTAGTACTTCTACTGATAGCACAACAAATGGTACAATTGCTCTAACAAGGTGATATCATCTACCTTTAATATGTTCTAGAATTTCTCCAATGATATAAATTGTTGCTCCTTCACCCTTCTAAAATGACACACTCTCTTGTTAGAAAATTGATGTAGTTTGTTGTATATCTGTGGGCTCCGAAAATTCGGCCCCGGCCTCCACCCGCTACATTCTTCGGGGGAGTTTTAGCGGAATTAAATTCCGGGGTAAATTTTGGGAAGGCAGATGAGTTTGTAGAGAAGACACTACCTAGAGATTTTGCCCTCATTTTGCGATGACTTTATGATCTGAGTTATGGTTTCCTATAGGCGCAAGCCCCTAAGTTTTGTTGTGACTCTTCCTTAAATCACATATATATTGCTTTATAGGCATCCCCTCAACCATTAAAAAAGCGGACGAGGCGTCCGCATTGAGTCGCGCCTCAAGTCGAGGCGGAAGTCATGCGTATCAGGGCTTACGCCTCGAACCATCCAGCGAAGCCTACGATTTTTTTGCACGAGGCATACGCATTAGAGCATAACGCCTCGAGGCAGTATGAGGCACCACGACGCAGCCGATTCGTGTTCGTGTATTCGCGTATAGGATTAGGGCTTCCTGTGAGAATTGAAAGGCGAACTAGAGGCGAAGCCATGAAGGAATGAGACGAAACCGTGAGTGTAGGAGACGATGTCGGAAGGAGACGACGCAAGGAAAGAAACGAAGCCGAAGTTGTGAGTGCAGGAAACGTTCAGGCATCGGTTAGGTCGGAAGAGCAGGTACGCGGTGTTGTGGCCTTGACTTTGACGTGCAGTAACGAAAGCCTGAATAACTCCTGATTCGGCTTTCTTTCATTCGTCCGCTCAGTACATGCTCGGTATCGAGCAGGTACAAGCTCGATATCGAGCAGGTACAAGCTCGATATCGAGCAGGTACAAGCTCGATATCGAGCAGGTACAAGATCGATATCGAGCAGGTACAAGCTCGATACCGCTCGGTACCGCTCGGTACCGCTCGGTACATGCTCGGTATTGCTCAGTACATGCTCGGTACTGAGCCAGTACCACTCGGTACTTAGCGGTACATGCTCGGTACCGAGCAAGTACACTCTCGGTATCGAGTCAGTACCGAGCGGTACATGCTCGGTATGCTCGGTATTAAGCATATACAACAAGCAACCCCCGCAGGGGCGCTGCCCCTTGACCCTGCGACCTGACCGGGCATGTACCGAGCTGTTGAAGTGTCAGGCGTCGGTATCGACCTTGACCCAGCGTCGATAGACTGGTATATTTTTGTGTTCATGTTGTTTTATTATTGGTAGTACAAATAATTATTAAAATATGTCATATTGTTAGCATGACTAGTGGCACAAGAAGGAAAGATCCTACATGGAAATATGGAACTCAAGTTGAAGTGTCAAGCGACGATGCAAAGAAGGGATATGTTTACATGAAATGTAATTTCTGTGAGAAACGCATAACTGGTGGCGTCAAGAGATTGAAGGATCATCTAGCCTGCACTCATGTCAATGTGGGACCATGTGCAAAAGTTCCTGATGAGGCGAAAAAGGAATGTACAAATTATTTAAAGAAGTTTGCCACCACAAAGGAGGTCACACAAAAAAAATATGGAAGAGATGATAGGAAACTCTTCTTACTATGGATCACAGCATGAAGGTTCCAGTACTGGAAGTCATCTAGTTTCTTCTAACCGAGGCAGTCAGGGGCCCATGGATAGATTTATGCTAAATATTGATAACGAGAAAAACATAAATACTCAGGATATTCAGCCTCCTACAGCTACAAAAGAACTCAGGAACAGAGTTTGTTTGGATATCGCCAGATTCATCTATGAAAATGGGATTTCATTTAATGTTGTTAGGAGTCCGTCGTGGATCAATATGTTACGATCTGTTGGAAGCTATGGAAGAGGATTACAACTTCCAAGCATGTATGAGCTGAGGACTTGGATGCTGAATGTGGAGGTTAAGCAACTTCAAAAATGGTGGATGATGTTAAGAAGACTTGGATTGAGACAGGAGTGACAATAATGTCAGATGGTTGGTCAGATATTAGACATAGAAGTATTATTAATTTCTTGGTCAACAATCCATGTGGAACAGTTTTTCTCAAATCAGTAGATACTTCAAGCTTTGTAAAGGATGCACAATTATTGTTTGAAATGTTGGATGAAGTTGTGGAGGAAATGGGAGATGTCTTAGTAGTACAGGTTGTTATTGATAATGCAAGTGCATACAAAGCTGCATGAAGAATGTTAATGGAGAAAAGGCCTCACCTTTACTGGACTCCTTATGCTGCACATTGTATTGACTTGATGCTTGAGAGGTTGGGATTGTTGCTTCAATATAAATTAGCCATATTGAAGGCCAATTTCGTTAGTAAGTTTATATACAATCATTCTTGGGTACTCGGCTTGATGAGAAAATTCACTGACAAGGAAATTAATAGACCTATTGTTACAAGATTTGCTACTGCATATTTAACATTGCAGAGATTCAAGGAGTTAAGACAACCTTTGGAAGAAATATTTGCAACTGAGGAGTGGGATAAAAGTTCATGGGCCAAAAAACAAGAAGGAAAACAAGTTAAAAAGATTGTTATGAAAGATGATTCATTTTGGCGAAGTACAAATTATGCTTTGAAGACAAAAGGACCATTAGTAAAGGTGCTTAGAATGGTTGATGGTGAGAGGGCCCCGGCTATGGGATTTATTTATGAAGCAATGAATAGGGCTAAAGAAGACATTGCAAAAGAATTGGGAGGTCAAGAAAGTGCCTACAAAGAAATATGGGATATTATAGATGAAAAGTGGGATCGACAATTACACCAACACTTACATACTGCTGCGTACTATTTAAATTCCCAATTTCATTATGATAAGGATTTTCATGTTGAAAAAGAGGTGAAAACTGGTTTGTATACATGTATGTATAGACTCATTTTTGAAGAAGACTACCTCAAAGTGAATGATCAACTTGAGGATTTTCATTTGAAGAAGGGAATGTTTGGATTTAGAACAGCACAAGCATGCTACAAAACACGATCTCCTTGTATGTTTATAGTTTGAGTATTTATAATTTTAATGTTAATATTTATATTCAAGTCTTCTACTTCAACCAATATTCATAAAATACTATGTTTGTCTTCATGTAGAACGTTGGTGGGCTCAGTTTGGAGATGATGTTCCTGAATTGAAAGCTTTTGCAATTAAAGTTCTTAGCCTAACGTGTTTGGCTTCTGTATGCGAGCATAATTGGAGTATCTTCAATCAAATTCATACAAAGAGAAGAAATCGATTGGCGGCAGATCGAATGAACAAACTAGTTTATGTTATGTTTAACAAAAAACTGAAAGATAGACATCTCAAATTGCAAAATCAATAAAATATTGAGAATGAAATTGATCTATTGCTTGTTGATGAATTACAATCTGATGATGAATGTGTTACTCCTAAGAATGCTTATGTATCTAAAGTTGAAGCAGAAGGAGAAAGACATGTCAATTAAGAAGACAATGAAGCAACTATCCAAGTATATAAAAGAAAGAAACAAAGTGAAATTGGAACTTCAAAAAAATTTAAAGATATTCTTAAATATAATGAATTATTTTGTATGTTACTATTGTTTCATTTTAGAGCTAATGAAATATTAACTGATATAGGAGATAAAGAAAAAAATATTATAAATGAAGAAGAGTTGGAGGATGACTTTGATATTAATTATGAAGATTCTTCTGAAGACAATCAAAGTGATGATGAGCCTACTTTGGGTCTTGATCCTAAGGGGATGTTTTATTTTTAAGTGAGTTTATTTTAAATCTTGTATTCCAGTAATATTATCTTAAAACAAATCTTCAAATTCATAGTTGACATAATATTTTCTTATTTTTTGTCATTATTTATAATTTTAAATTAATTTATTTTAATCGTTTTGGGCTTACGCCTCGATCCGCCTCGAGGCTTCACCTCGCCTCGCTTAGAAAAAACACCTCGATTCCCAATTTCGCCTTTTAAAACCTTGCATCCCCTCACACATGTTGCCATCATCAAGCTCAAGCCCATATAACAGTATATCTCAAATACTCACTCTATATTTTATATAAACAATCACAATGGTCTGCAATTTCTATACCGGTTTTCCATTGGCATAGGTGAAGCCCCTTCCAATCCCCAGCTTTGAAGCAACCATCTTTGGAAAAGGTGGGAATGTCCTTTTAAAGGTTTCATCATTTCTTTCTTTTTCATATTTCCTTTTTGTTGTTCATCCAACACCAGTTTTTGTTGTGTCATCCCTCAATGTTTCTCATCATGCCATCGCACACCATTTATTGTGGTGTCGCCCCTCACTATATTCTAAATGCATTCAACCAACTGAATTAAAACACTCATTTACTTTATATTACATTGAAACAAACAGTTTAAATTGAGCAGAATCCAACGCATCTATTTTACACCGCATTATAAAAATACATGCAACCAAACAACCCTCATAGCAAATAGACATTACTAACCTCAAATGAACTGCAATGAAACGTGAGCTCATCTTTCGCATTTTCTTCAACAATTTTTGACCTAGCAATCGCAAAGGCTTTGTAAACCTTAGAGCATGATAGTTAACATGACAACGTAACTTTTGAAGGTCTTCATCAAGCTCATTGGTTAACCGGTAATCAAACTTGGTTAATTGCACAACCTGCAATATGTGATCGTGCTAAACACGTCAAACCTCATTTAAAGAAAAATAATAAAAAATAACATAATATATCATAAGAGATGCAATGTATTCACAAAAGGACGCATAAATCCCTTAACAAAAAATAATCAAACAAAATTCACAGTAAATTAAGGAAAGTGAAGGAGAAGTTACCAGAATAATTCAATGTTAAAATAGCCCAAGAGGAGCCCCATGCAAACAGCAGTAAGAAAGCACTAAATCCAGCTTTTAATAAAAAATGAAGATGCCATGTGTCACAAGATACTGAAGATACTGAGGCACCAAAAGATTATACATGGATGGTACAAGCCCGTGGCTCAACAGGATATTTAATAAGAAAACGGAAAAATCAAATCCTCAATTATGTTTTACAATGATCAAACTTTCAATGGTTCGCATAAAATCGTTCTAAAGAATAGGAAGTTTAATAGAGTAGGCTAGAATTAGCAAAAGACGGGCATTGATTTTTATAAGTCTATGAAGCACCGCCTAAGAAGCATTTATCTTGTGGATGCTAGTTGCCAACTCTTTCATGCCGGAAAGCTAGATTTCAATGCATGTAATAGAACAGTACAGATCCAGCTAAGCAACTCATTTCTCTTTAATAATCAAAGTCCCAAGTGAAATATTTATCAATTAAATTGTTAAGCTAAATTGCCCACTTACATTCCTGCGCAACAGTATTGGCAAGACTTGGTCAAGATAATATTCTGGAGTTGATCTTCTAGGAACGCGCATGGTGTATGGAGGTTTCTCCATTGATCTCATTACTTTATCTGGGACCCTTTTAACAACAATAACGTCTTTTCGAAGGGACGAAATGAACCAATTGACATCAAAAATGTTGGCAAAGTCACTGCAAGTAATATTTTTGTTTACAAAATGTATTCCATGCTAATTATAAAATGCTTAGGGTATTCTTATTGAAAATCAAAATGCTTACCTCTCATCTTTCCAGAACGAATGATGATCTAATTGTGGTACAACAAGTGTTGCATTTAGAATACGAGCAACAACAACAGCATCTGTAATCTGAATGAAAAAAAAGGTTAGTACAATGGGATAATTTCATATATGTTTTGCGGACTTAATTGCTAAACACTAAGGAAGAATTCAAAGGATTATATTAAAAAGTGGTTGACGTTAGTTGAAAATTGTTAAAAGCATGAAACTAGTACAACGCCAAGATAATAGAATCAAGGGGGAATTACAATTAACCATCATGGGGTTCGGTATGCATACACAACCCGTGCATCTTGAAAACAAATTTGACCCCATCTATTTTGGACCAAAACACGACATGACAATTAATTGATGGACCGGCCAATTTAATTTGGAGGGAATTAGAAAGTTTCCTAATAAAGAGAGGGCTATTTAGGAAGGTTCTTAATCAAAGGATAATTGTTTAGGAAAATTTTAATTACAATTGAGAGGGAATTATATAGGGCAAGAGATCTAATTTGAATTAAAAATCTAAAAAGGAATTATTTAGGGAAAGAGAGGAGGAATCAAGGGGGAATTGTTTTGGAAAGTTTTAATTATAATAGGGAGGGAGTTATTTAGGGCAAGAGATCTGGTTTGAATTCAAATACGAGAGAGAATTATTTTTAAGGAAAGGGGATGATTCGAGAGGGAATTAGGGGATCCTATTTAAGACTAACAATATAGTGATTTCAGGATTATGATGTTATTTGCTGAATTTAGATTGTTCCTAGAGAATTTGGGCTCTAGCCGGTGGCTACAGATTTGGGAGAGCCGGATATCCCTCTCCAATAGAAGATCCATAATATCTTGTTGTTTTCTTCCATAGATCATCAATCAAAAAGAGTTTTCTCTTATTGTTACTCTTAATTCCTCTAGGAGATTGTGTTTGGGACTACTATAATTAAATTTCAGCCAAAGGAGATAGGTACAAGCAGTTCCTATCAAAGCGTTGCATTTAGAATATGAGCAACAACTACAGCATCTGTAATCTGAATGAATAGGAAGGCTAGTACAATGGGATAATTTCAAATATGTTTTGCAGACTTGATTGCTAAGCATTAATGAAGAATTCAAAGGATTATATTAAGAAGTGGTTGACGCTAGTTGAAAACTGTTAAAAGCACTAATCTATTGCAGAATCATGACTTTCAAAAGTTCTAGTACAACGCCAAGATAATAGAATCGAGGGGGGATTACATTTAACCATCATGGGGTTCAATATGCATACACAACTCGTGCATCTTGAAAACAAATTTGAACCCATCTATTTTGGACCAAAACATGACAATTAACTTATCCTTGCAACATAGCAGGAAAAAAATAGACATTTTTACCCTATATACTCTATGTACCTCCGTCACAACAACCACTCGCCCAATTCACAGCTCTCAAGTTCAAGGACAGCCCCAATAGAGCAACTAGAATCAGAGAATGACATCATGCTTCTACGTGATAAGAATGAGTAGTTGTGAGCGGTATTCTCAGTTCCCTCCGCAAAATTTTCCATCATTTTGGAAAGAAAAGTTCAGTACCACATTGGTGAAAGTAACTGAGGAAAAAATGCATTTTTAAAGTACATGCGAGTTACACCATATATACAGAAAACCACATGGAGTAAATTATAATTGCCTTATAATCAATAGTCAACAAAATTTACTGATTGGTCAAATTTCGATGTCATCAAAAAATGGTGAGAAACAAAAGCCATCAAGTTTAAATGATTAGAATAACTTATTCAGTTATTGTCCCAACAATAATTGTACATATTTACGGATGATTTCAAAAGAATTTATGGTATATCAGTCCGAATAATGTATTCAAATAATCAAAAAATATAGAAAGCAACACTTTTTTGTAAGACAGAGACAGACAGAGACAAGGGAGGAGATCAGAAGGAAGAATAGATTTCTTACCCCTGTTCTTTGTTGATTCAGTCCCCCGCTTGCAGCAATCAGTAAGTAGCCATTAGATTTGTTTTCTGGCACAGGAGCTATATTGAAAAATAGAACAAATAATGCAGTTAACGACATAAATGCAGATAAATGTTCAATCTTTTGATGAGAAGGTAACATTTTAACTTCTGCAGGTATTACCCCGCATCAAAACACAAAATTAATACTTGGCTTATTGTCAAAATATCAAATTGTTATTACTATATTGAATGGAAGTGGGAAAAAAGGCAAGGGTAAATTTATCATGTCCATCTTTAAAGTCTACACTAAAAGTCATTTATTATGACCTTTTTCAGATTTCCGACCAGAACTTCGCCTTTAGATCCTCCATTTCCAGTATGCGCTAAAATAGAGGGTCAGTAAACAGAATAATGTATACTGGCTTACTTCTATCTTTGACCAACTTGCTTATATTTCACAAGACATTCAAAATTAAAGCTGCTTTTGTTGTGAGCGAACAACCCACCCTACGTACTAGGTAGGGTGGGATATATGAATTTTTTTTCTATATTATATTTATTAAGAGTTAAATTCTCAATAAAATCTTTAAAAAAATTATAAAAAAAGGTCAGCCTAAACTATAAAGTTGAAACCAAGGCTTTTAAAACCGGACCGGATCGGCCGGTTCAACCGGTTGAACCGTGAACCGGCTGCCCGGCCGGTTACGGTTCGCCTGAGAACCGTTTTCGCGTCGAACCGGTCTCGGACCGTTCGAACCGCCGGTTAGACCGTTGAACCGGAAAACCGGCTCCGATTTCTCTCATTGACCGGTCCGGTTTTAAAAGCCTTGTTTGAAACCACAGCAACGAAGTGCATAATCTATTGTTCACGCACAGAAATTGGTAAAGCCAGGACCCGAGGTTGAGCATAAATGTTGCAGATGCTGAAAAGAACCCCAACCCAGATGATAATTGGTGATATGTGAGAAAAAAGGGGTTAAATAAACTTTTTCCTTATAATTTGCCACATTTTGTTTTATGGATTTTTATTTGTACTAGCACAGAACTATCGGGAACCTATATCAACAACTACATCAGCATCCAAAAGTTAATAGCTAATTTACAATGAACACTGGTGCACGAACAATCATATTTATGGAGCTTCTTTGTATCCCCAAAAAAACCCCTCATTCTTTTTTTTATTTTAACATTATAATAGATGGTAAAATTTTACAATAAAAAATTTCTTAGATTGATTTTGGTGAAAAAAATAAAAAATTGATCCAATAATTAAAAATATATTAAAAGACGAGATTGTTGACAATGGATGTTATGGACGATGAAAGAATGTTGTTGGCAAAGAAGGGTAGTGGTCAGTCAATAAACAAATATCCATAGTACTTGGTTGGTTGACAAAGGAGAGTGAAGCTCTGCGAACAGTGACAACAATAATTTTATGGAGAAATTTCTACCAGTTGTTTCAAAACAATTTTCACCACAAATTTTTGTGAGTAGCTTTTCAAAAAGCAAGTTAAATATTTTCATCCAAACGCCTATCTATTGTTGGGAATGCAACTTTGAAAAAGGGACTCCAAAAGAGAAAAACATGGATACTAGAAGGAAGATCATGTATAAATTTAATTGAATAACAGTTTTTTTCTGGTAGAAACAGTCAAAGCTTCACTAAAGGTGCCTAAGAAGATATGGCACATGTATATTAAGCTCAAAAAGCAAGACCCTTCTGGAATGACAAAGCCAACGATTTTTTGCTATGACCAAAAAATATTTCTAAAGAGAAACAGTCCAATCTATGGCTAAACTTGTACTGAAAATTTATATCTTAGTTATAAGTACACATTATGGTGATAACTAAGGCCATAATTCAAGTTCTTTTGCATAGCATATAAAAGATGCTCAAGGTTGAGGAAAAAAAAGCAATTCATGGCAATAGAAACTTGCAAATAACACATCAACAGGAAACTTTAAGCATCCTCGACCAGGAAAAGACAATATAAGTAAGACCAAATATGCTGAATAGAAAGGCCAAGTTTGGAGGTAAACTAGATGTTATAAACAAGGAACATGATTAAAACACTTACGTCCAAAATTTGGGCTTCTATCACTACAACCATAGTAGAGTCTCGCAAAGTCTGATTTCCAAATATCAATGTTGTAATGAGTGAAACCCTACAAATAACCTGAAATCAGTGATATCTAGCAGCAATAATATTCAAAAAATAAGGTAATAAACAAATAGCTCATATCAAAATGAAAAATCCGTTCAGACCAGAGAATGCTGCCATGATGAAACATTATTATTTTCTTATTGATGTGGCATACACAAGATAACAAGAGCTATTTAATCTCCATATTTCTAAGAAGCTATTCCATAATTTTAAGGAAATAATCTGAAAATAACTTCTTATATGAAAATTGTTAGGTAGTGAGTTATGAGCCATTAAGTTAGTGTCTTTCTTCTTTATTGTACTTGAACCAAATGATGCCATGTATATTTATAACTCTACATAGTATTGAAAATTTTGCCGAGAAAATGCCTGTCAACAGTAAATTTATATATATAACATTAAACGGGTTGTTTCATCTCCCAGCCCGATTGGAAAGCTTTCTGGAATTTTTTTAAAAAAATCATCTCAAAATTCATCCTCTATATATATATAACATCTTTAGTATAATCAAAACTTTAGCAAAAGTTGATTAAACAAGAAAACTTCTCGAGGTAGATATCTAAAACAATAAATTAAATAATTTTGGATGCTATTACTAAAACTTTGTACATTAATGTCATATACCTCACCGCAATAGGCAGTGACCAATGATCAGAATAATAATATTGGAATAACTAGCATCTCCTTGAGCAAAATTTCGTCAATGAAAAATAAACCTTAGGATCTTATCATTTCTCAAGGCTTTGGAAATTTATTTTTGCATGCCTTGAATTGTAATAGAAGTCATAGCAAAAAAGAGACAAAGGTCGTTTCATGAGCTAACTTATAAATTTCAACACCATAAAGAAACGAATATAAAGCTGAAGGTAAAATGGACTGGTAAACATGATAACAGCTCCTCACAACTCAGAGATTTGCATGACTCCGCTCCAATAGTTCAGCTAAACTCTTTAATGCTGGATGGAGGCAGATTAAGAAAGGTCACTGTTCTTTACGTTTTTCTATTTACCTGAATTTTTTTTATGTATATTGGCCTACGTGAATCTGCCTTTAAGATAGATCTCGCATGGTATTGATCCTCAAGTTACTCTTTGCTTTCTTCAAATGGATAAAGAGATAGTATGCAGCTGCCTGGTTTTTCAAATTTCATGGCTACACAGATTTATTGAAATGACATCTCCAACCTAGTCCCCCCTGCAACCCAAACACACACAAACCCTTATTGATGCAGACAAAGATTTGAGTCATTTTTTCTTTCGTACCTCATGCTAATGCCATTATTTTGTTAGGGTAATTTTAACCTGTCATTTTGTTTGTTAATTGTCTGCTAACAATTTGTTACTTATTTGTTATTTCTTTCATTGTAAATAAGAAACGACGACGACAACAACAACATTATCAAGCTTTTATCCCATTATATAGGGTTGGCTACATGAATCATTTTTTTCCATCGAGTCCTATTAAGAGTCAAATTCTCATTTAAATCTAATAAAGAAAGGTCATTTCTAATATTTTCTAACCGTCTTTTTACGTCTACCTCTACCTTTCTTAACATAGGTCAAATCTAATACATCCACTCTCCTAACCGGGTCATCGGAAGGCCGCCGTTTTATGTGACCAAACCATCTAGAATGACTCTCTCTAATCTTATCTGCAACTGGGGCTACTCCAACCTTAACACGTATATGCTATTTTTATATCCAACCTCTAATAGTAAAGCCACTCATCCACCAGAACATCCTCATCTCTGCAACACTTTACTTAATATTATACTTAATGTAGGCAGGGGGTGGTCAAAACAAATTCTATATTCTTGTCCTTGGGCTGCTTGCTGTTCTCGGTTTGAGTCCTTGGCTATTCACGGGCTGGACTTTGGCTGCTTGGTGTTGAGCTTAAAAATTGGGTTCTACTTGGTGTTAGCTCATTAGTGCTTGAGCTGAAGTTTAGCTCATTAATTGGAGGAATAAATGCACTTCCTAGCTCATAAAATCAAAAAGGTATTCTTCTATTTTAGCTCATTATTGAGGAGTGGACTTGTGTCTCTTCCTTCCCCTTGTCTTCTCGGTTTTCCCCTGGCTATTGTTGTTCCTGTGGCTTCTCCTCTCGTTTTTCCCCTGGCTGTTGTTGTTCCCGTGAAGAAACATGTTGGGGTTCCGCCCCCTTTTTCCCTGGCCTCTTCGGTTTCTGTTGGTTCCGCCCCTTGGTATCCTATATGGAATGAATTTGGCCTAATTTTTGGATGCCTTTTCAGCTGCTGTTTGCTGCTATTTTGAATGTCTTTTGACCTTTCATTTCCATGATTTAATGGGCTTATTTAATGATTATGGTGGCTGTTTGGCTGCCCTCTCAAGTCCTATATATGTGATGTTTGGTGAATAAAAAAGGGGATATAATGTGATTTTTGGAATATAAAAACTAATGGTTTTTCTTGGAATAGCTTGCGAGCTATGTCCTTGAACTTCCTCTCTCCTTCTTCTAGGATAACTTGCGAGTTATGCCTTCTTCATCTCGACTTCTAATCCCCTTCTTCTCTACGCAAGTGACCACCCCACCTATATCCTTCTTCTCGATGAAATGCAACTTTAGAAATTTATGTCGTCAAAGTTTGTAAGCGTCGTTTGTAAGCGTCTTTTATATTATATAAGTTTGTTTTTGTCTAATTTGTCGATTTTGGGGCAATCTTTGTAATTTTCTATTATCTAGGAAGCATAAGTTTTTGCTCGCAAAAATTTGGGAAGGGCTTGCATCAATACTTCTCTTTTAATGGCCAACATTCTGCGCCATAAAGCATTGCAGGTATCACAACCATTTTATAGAATTTTCCCTTAAGTTTGAGTAGTAGTTTTCTATCACACAACAAGCCCGATGCATTCCTCCACTTCAACCAACCAACTTGAATTCTACTAATAATATCCCTATATATTTCACCAACACACTAAAACAAAAGACCCAAGATATCTAAAATGTGTACTCTTATTAATGACTTGATCGCTTAAAGTCACAAACCCCCACTAGATTTACTACTGCTAAATTTATTCTCCATGTATTCGATTTTAAATCTACTCAAACGAAAACCATTAGACTCTAAGGTTGACCTCCATAATTCAAGTTTACCTTCAACTCCCTCTCTAGGATTATCAATAAAAAGCATACACCAAGGAACAATCTTTTGCAAATGTCTAGTGAGAACATCCATGACTAAATCAAAAAGATATGGGCATAAGGCTGGTCCTTAATGTAATCCAATAGAAATAGAAGAATACTTGGTCAAACCACCTTGTATTTGAGCACAAGTAACAGCTCCTGCATACATATCTTTAATAATTTAAATATAAGCATTATTAGCTCCTTTCTTATGTAGAACTCTCCATAGCACTTCTCTTGGAACTTTATCATATGCTTTCTCCAAATAAATAAAAATCATATCCAAATCCTCCTTATTCTCTCTATGCTTTTCCATTAAACCTTTCAATAAATGTATAGCTTCCAAAGAAGACCTACCTGGCATAAATCCAAATTGATTTTGAGAAATTAGTGTCACGCTGCAACCTATGATCCATAACTCTCACCCATAGTTTTAAAGTATGACACATCAATTTAATTCATTTATAATTCGTACAATCTTCTGCATCACCTTTATCTTAAAAATAGAAACAACACACTCATTCTCCACTCATCTGACAATTTTTTAGTCTTTAAAATAATATTAAAAATTTTAGTAAGCAAAGAAATTCCTTTATTAACTAAGCATTTCCATGCCTCTATAGGAATATCATCATATCTAACAACTTTCCACACTTTATTTTCTTTAAAGCTTATTAACTTAGGTTTTACTGATACGCCGATAAAAACAAAAATCAGTATTTTTATTTAAGGTGCTAAAATAACTAAATCAATCGCATTCTCACAATCTTCATTAAAAAGTTTAGCAAAATATCTCATCCACTTTTGTTGAATATCCTTTCCTAATAAAAACATTTTTTGATATTCATGCTTAAAATAATTCATTTGAATTAAATCCTTACTACTCATATATCTTTGTTTATCTAACTTATATATATATATATATATTTCGCTCTTCTTAGTATCTAATCTATTATATAAATCATTAAAAGCTAAAATTTTTGCATCACATCTTGCTTTTTTTGACTTCTAACATGCCTCTTTATATATTTTCCAATTATCATAATTTTTATAACTAAACTATTTTTACAACAAATTTTCTTATTTTTTATTTTTTCTTGCATATTTTGATTCCACCACTAACTATTTTTATTATTATCCATTTTTTTCTTTGATACTCCAAGTGTATTCTTAATATTCCTAGCTATTTTTTCCCACATAACATTAACTTCCTCATACACAGAAAAAATCTTAAAATTTAAAATCTTACTCTCAAAAATATTTTTGTTAATATTCTTTAAATGCCACCATCTAATCCTAAAACAACGATTTAATTTAATTTTTTTATTTTTTGTCCCTTCATCTTAAAGTCCAAAACTAATAAACGATGTTGGGTACATGAAATTTTACTTGGAATAACTTTATAATTTTTGCACTAAACAATTTATTTTTCTCATAAGAAAATAATTAATCTTAGTTTTACTATATACATTCTTATAAGTGATGAGATGTGCATCTCTTTTCTTAACTAAAATATTAACAATTACAAAATAATAAGCTAAAAAATTTTAATATAATCTTATCACCTTCATTAGTCGCTTCAAAGCCATAGCCAACATGAATACTTTTAAAATCATCTACCTCTTTACCAACATATCCATTTAAATCTTCTCTAATAAAAACTTTTCTTCAAAATGTATCTTTTGTATTAATTCATCTAGGTTATTCCAAAATTTTAATTTTGAACATATATCTAAACCTACTTAAGGAGCATAAGCGCTTATAATATTAATAATTGTAGCATCAACAATAATCTTTAAAGCTATAATTTTATCTCCAATTATATTAATTTTTACAATTTTATCATTTAAACTCTTA